ATTAAGTTATTTTTGTTTAAAGTTATAAAAAATTTTTATTATAAAAAATTTGCTTGATTTCTATTGACTCACCCCCACATGATGATCACGATGATCGGTAGCAGATTAGCCAATAGTGAATTATGATTTTGTATCACATAACATAATCAAAACAAACATCAGTTTTCTGATTACAGGATTACGCGTCAAAATTTTTACATGTCCATGGACAAGATGCACAGATATTTCAAAAGGAAGTATTCCGAATGGAGTATTCTAGATTTTTTGGAGGAAATTGAAGAGGAATCATTTCAAGTAAAAATAGATATTTATATAAAAAGTCTAGAGTACATTATTAGAAATGACCAAGGAAAAAAGCGTAATAAGGCACAAAATCTTTTAGATAGATATAAAAAGGCAAGTGAAAATCCAACTTTTATCGTTGTTAAAATATATAAGTGGCGTGATAAGGAATCTTTTAGTTTCTTTATCATTCAAGTCTTTTAGTCGAGCCACAAAACCAGTATTAGGGCACAGGCAATCTTTTAGTTTGGCTGATGTTCAAGTCTTTTAGTCGACCTGATATTGGTCCCATTGGGGCACAGGCAATCTTTTAGTTTGGCTGTTGTTCAAGTCTTTTAGTCGACCTGATGGGATAACTAATCAGATGAGAAAATCAAAAAATCTATTAAGAATGTTATTAACCCTTAATTCGTTTTTTCTGCAAGGACAACCGACCGGACTATAAACTGGCAAGAGAGTGGGAAGAAAAACGGTCAAAAAAGATGCGTATACCTTTAATAAACCATCACCATCATTCAACATTTACTGGAATTGGAACTATTAGCGGTGGAAGTGTAGCTATAAATTGTGGAACCTTCGGTATTGAACCCTCAAGAAAGAAAAATCAAGAGGTGTATATATGTACTTTTTACGTAGTTATAAGTTAGATAGTAATGTGGTGTATTAAAATGAAATCAATTTTGATTAGAAAATTGTGCGTGTGGCAAAATTTTTGAATGCATTTTTTAATGCTTTCTCAGGGTTAGAATTGTTAATTGAATATTATAAGTGGGTCTAGTGGCCTTAATGTTCATTTTAAATTGATTTCATTTTGATTTGCAATAATCAATGTTATTGCTATCTTTAATTTTATATTACTATTCTTTATTTCTGTAGGACGAAATGAATACCTTCTTTCAGACCTCAACTGAATATCATTCGACCAATTTTTTTACTGGTTCAAAGACCTTGAATACAGATTGCGAAAAGCTTCCATCTTCTAACTTATCAACTTCACGTGCTTTAAAGAGAAAAAATGATTCAGATGGCGAAGATAATTTGCATGAAGAATCTTGTGATGTCGAAGATGAAAAACCAAAAATTGATAAAGAAAACTATATGGTGGCATTCGGCAAAATTCCAGAAAATTCAAAAATGAAATTAAGTTCCGGAAGAATTGTAGAGGATATTTTGTTCGAATATGCGAAGGATAAAGTGTATGAAGAGTAATATATCTAATATTTAATTATATTTTTTTTTATCTATTACATTATTATATACAATTCTGATGTGTGAATCTGATATATTTTATTAGTCACACACATTCGTTTATAATCAATTGTAGTGATCAAGAAGTAAGAAGTTTATTTTCTATGGATGAATGGGCTGAAATAACGAAGGAGGATCAATTAGAAGATTTTCAAGTGCCAGATGAATTAGCAAATTTCATGAACAGTTATAATAAAAGTACATTACAAGATATCCGGTCTGATATTATGAGATCTTACCTTAAAGAAGGTGAGGTCTATGATCCTTCTTTACATTACGACAAAGAATGGCTTCATGGATCAATAAGAACAATAGTAAATTTATGGGAAAACAGAGACGCTCCCTTAGCAAGAATGCAATATGAAGACTGGTATTTTGGAAATATACTTGGGCAATGTTTGGATTTTTGTTTTAGAGATTCGACATTAGGCACAGATATTAAAAGGTTATTATGTTATTATTTCATTCTAGTAATAAATCGATAATCGTTTTTTCTAATATATGTTTATTGTACTTCGTAGGACTGACGCGCCATCATTGGCTAGTGGAAATAAAAAAAATCGTAACAAGCAAAAAAATCACAGAAAAAAGGTTGGCAGAAAAATAGATGGCATTATCTATAATGTGGAATATAATCTCGAGCTCGGTGCAATTGAATCAGCACGAACTTTTAAGGATGAATACGATAGGAAGTACCTCCATGAATCATTTAAATTACCGAAAGTTCTAAGGGACATATACTGTGATTTGGTTAGGTTCATCAAATATGATGAGGAGAAAAGCAATTCAATACAAGTAATAGGAATTTTGCACTTTGGTCTTAGACTACAATTTGTTAGGTTATGGAGAGCGGGAGGTTCGATTACAATCTTTAAGAAGAGTAATGTAGTTTATCATTTGTCATCTAAGTTTACAAGACCTGGCATTTGCGATTTTCTTAAATTATTGGCTGGTATTTATGCTTATAAGGTAAAAAAAAGTTGCTTTACAAAGAGCTTTGCATAAGTTGATATAAAATTACTCAGGTCAAAAGCTTAGTTGCGGTTTCTAAATTTATAACTAACTATTTTACATCTTTTCTAATTAAACTTAACAAAGAATAATCTTCGTCTTTTGGGTTTAAATGAGGATAAAGAAAATGATTTTTTAAAGGAACTAAAGAAAGGAGGTCGAGAATCAACTCCTCCACCTAAAACAATTAAATATTTAGTAGATTGTTGGATGACTCCTGTAGTGCTCAAGCCAATCAAGCCCAAGCAAACCAAGCGACAGAACAAAAAATCAACTAAAAAAAGATGAGAACATTAATTTAGCTTGATTTTCCTTAAGTAAATAATAATGCTTTTACTTATAAACATGTTAAAAAGTTTTTAATTGAAAATAAAATACCTTGGATACCTTATGATAAATTTAAATATGTTAAAAATTATGGTACTGTAAAGTAAATACTAACGTTATCGTCATGTTATGATCACAGATCTTGTCCGTTAAGTCATGTGATTAATAATTAGAGTACTGCTGTTTAAAAAATATTTGACCTTGATAATTGGCACATTTTACTTCCTTTGAATATAATAAATAAGATACAATGAATTAATTATTGAAAAAACTTCAACTTGAATTGGATCAACTGAAAAAACTTGCGACAATTTGAATCCAGAATTGAATCCACCAGGGACCCGGAAAAGTTCACATATATATATGAATAAGATGGAATTTTTGGCACAAAAGGAATTTTTAGAGCTGATTTTGATTTGTTAAAAGTCATGTAATAATCTAGTATCGACCGTATATTTATAAGATATTGGTCATAACTCCTACAGGGAGATCCCCAAAATTCCGGGTCGGACGCTTCGGAACTCTTGCCAGAAGGGCCGGAGTTGATCGATTTTGCCCCAAGATCACTAAGAATTTTACTAATGAAACAATAGTCGTTCATTAAGTG